AAAACAAAGGCGGAATACAGCCCAGTTCCTGCGGTACATTAGAAAAACTGAAGGCAAATCTCACTTGACTTGCACGGGCCAGCCTGCCTCATTGCCAGATCAGCCCAGCAAACCATCCAGGAATAAAAGGACCAAGGAACCCATCAAGTCACGCACGGAGCTGGTGAGACTCTGGACCGGGGCTGAAGCTGGTCCCGCGAGCAAAGGCCCTTGCACGTGGCCGCTTCAACTCCACCTCTACAGCTCCCAGGAAGGGCACCCTGCAGCCACATTTGATATGAGGAGTGGGTGGCAAAGCCACTTACTGGGCTGTCTTGGCCGAGATCCCTGGCATGGAGGGACGGAGCAGGCAGGGCAGCCCGTGTGGCTCTACAGGCAGCCTTGGAGGTGTGCAGACAGGGCCGACGTAGGCAGGGCAGCTGGGAAGCGTGGCCTGGATTCTGCTCTGACCCCTACACTTAGCCAGCCTGAAGGATGGACAGACGGGTCTCCAGCACCCTGGCCTGCGTGCTCCACCTCTGAGAGACGTGAGGCTGGTCTTGGTGCGTGCCAGAGGCTCGCAGCGTCCTGACTGACGAGGGCACCTAGGCCTGAGGCTGCACTGTGGGTTTCTTGGTGGGAGTTCTGCTCCCCTGGGGCATGGCCTGCACCCTCTTCCTGGGCTTGTTGGGAGGAGAACACACACCCTGGCTCCCTGCCCCGAAGCTGAGAGACAGCAGGCTGTTTCCTCAGACAGTCCACCCCTTGGTGGCCTCAAGAAGGTCAGAATTGAAGGGTCTTCAGAGACCACCTCCAAGTCTCTTGGCTTTCCTGAGGCTGGGCCTGAGGTCTTGAGTGGGGAGCTGGGTGCAGGGTGCTGGACAGTGCGCCCCACTCCGGTGCTCTGTCTCAGGACTCTGCCTCTGGGCCGGGCCCAGTCCTCAGAACTGACAGAGACCCAGGCTGCGCTGTTCAGAAGAATCACTGACTTAACCCCTAGCACTGTGCTCACAGGACCTCTCACAGTGGCTCAGAAGGACAGACGCTGCTTCCCCAAAACAGGCAACTTCAAGATCGAAAAGCCATGCCGAAGGCCAGGAAACTAGCACCCGCAGTAGCCCCGGCTCCACCCTTCTCTTTCCAGAGTGCCTGAGGTCCCAGGACAAAGGGGTGCCATGCTGTCTGTCTCGGCCTGACTCCTGATGCTGGGGCCACTATGACAGGGTCAGTCATGGACAACCCCTCCCACCATGCAAAGGACTTGAGGAGGATGGGAAGAGGAAGGGTGGGGCAAGGTGCTACTCCAAGGTGGCCAACACCTGCCGCACATGTACCTCCCAGGGTACCCACACCTCGAGCACCCACACCTACAGATTTGGGTTTAGCACTGTTCTTCCCACGCTACTTAAAACAGGCCAAAGCCACCAGGTGTGCGGTTCCGTCTAGCACAGGCAAGCCTGTCAGAGGAGGCCTACGAAGGGGGAAGCTGGCCCATTTCAGAGACGGGGCAATTGAGGCTGGTGGTTGTGAAGGGGGCCCGCAGTGAGGAGCTGGGAGGGTGGACTTTCTCATTCACAGTCACAGTGCCTGCCCCAGCAGAGTGAGACCCTCACGAGCTTCACAGGGGGCGTAGCTACAGAGCCAGGATGGGACCCCAGACCTGATCCCCGTGGCTCCTCGCACCTGCTCACATGGGGTACCTGGCAAGGTGCAGGGGAAATGAAGCTCTGGCCTCCTTTCAACCATGTTGCTAGTTTCCCTGTCCCCAGCCCTGGCTGCCTTCCCAGCCGGCTCGCCCTGGGAAAGTGCAGGAACATCCGTCACTCTGACAGCAGAATAATGAGAGGAAGCCAGGCCCCAAGCACGGGGCAGCCGGCACACACTGCCCTCCTAGCAGGGCCTCCAGGCCAAGGCTGCCCCACCCGGAGCACAGTCCTGCCTTCTCCCACCAAGGAAACCTGCTCCCCTTCAGAGCCAGGCCCTCGGGCTTGCGGCAGGGACCTGAGAGGCTGTGATGTCTCTCTGGGAGGCCCGTCATGCTGTGACTTCCAGGTTTTCCAGGCAAATGACAGCGGGACTTTCTGCTCCCCCAAGCCTGCCCCCATTTGTCTGGCCCCAGCTTGGGTAGCACCCCCAAGATCAAGATGAAGGGTGGGCTGGCCTGGCAAGTTCAACATAATTTAGCTGAAAACCAGGAAGGCCAAGTAATCGCTCAGGTCAACTAACAGGGAAACGGGCCTCAGGACGGGAGGGTAGGCCTGGGTCTGGGTAAGGTCGGCCTGGGCTATTTCCGCTCCAGCAGTGCCAGCGTCTCCACTCCACATGAGCCGCTGAATCTCAGCCCAGGAAGGTCAGCCAGATGCCTGGCCCACAAGCTACCCGCAGAAGCTAGCAGTATGTGAAGCTACTGTGTCTGGTGCTCAGAAAGTCAGTTCTGAGACAAGATGGACAAGTAGCCAACTGTGCCCCGGGCCTCCTGTCCCAGCCAAATGAAGACTGTCAACATCAAGCCTGCTTGTCAGTGTCCCCAGTCAAACAGGAGGTGGTGGTGTGAAGCTGGAGGCCCTGCTGCAAACACATGCTGTCAAGCCGGACAAATTATCAGCACTTTACCAGCACACAGTCAAGCACTGGGCCAGAAAATGGACCCACACGCACCTGTTAAAGAGGTTATTGCGGCTAACCATGCGCAGAAAGCCTGTCGGGTCAGTGACTGAGTTGAGCTTGTTGTTCATCTCTTCAAATTGCTGATCCATGATGTCACCGGCCTCACTCTCTGTCTCGCTGCTGGCACAGGCCCTGCAGGACAAGCACAGAAAAGGCCACTCAGAGAAGGGACATGCTGAGCTGAACGTCAGCCCTGGGGTCTCAGGCCATCCTGTACCCCAGACCCTGAGGGAGTGCCCCGTGCCAGCACTATGGCACCCTGCCCTGCCTACAGCGCTTCTAGGAGCCACTCTGCCTAGCTGATGTACCCCATCTACTGTGGACGCTCAGCGGAGCTGTGCCAGAGTCGGTCTCCAGCACGCGGTCCCACACGTCAGGTGGCCCACAGGACACCGGCTTTTGGAATACAGTGATGTGTTTTGTCCCATGAGCTGGCACCACTGTTTCTGGAACAGAGCTGACAGGGACCTGGTAGTGTGGTAGCCCTCCCACCACTGATTCTAGCCCATCCCATTCCAGAAACAAAGGAATTAAGCACCTACTATGGGCAGGCATCATGCCAGGCATGGGGGTAGGTGGCCTACTGTGGCATTTGGTAGATGTTGCGACACAAATGCACAGGAGCCATGAGACCAGACAGTGCGTTACGCTGTGTGACATGCAAGTCAAGCAATGTGGCTGGGGGGCTTCCCAATGCATCAGCAGGAAGGGACCATGTTTGAGTGAATCTGTTCCTATTTCTCCTCTGTCAGATTGTACTAGAACATCGTACAATGGATTGTAAATAAATAGCAATACGCAAGAGTGCTTTGACACCTCACCGTGATTAAAATGACAAAAGGCTAATTAAACACAAAAGCCTTGTGATGTCCCTTGAGGAGAGCAAGCAGGACAAGGGGGGCCAGCCTGCCCAAGGAGGTTCCTCCTCTCCACCCCTCACAGTCAACAGAGGGAAAACATTTTGGGCTCAGTAAAGTCAACCCTCCAAAAGCACTCCCCCACTGCACAGTCACGTTCAGACTTCATTGAAATCCTGAGTTATCGGTACCGAGTCCATGGAGGAACATCAGCCCACAGGACAACTTCTAGGCCTGGTTCCTGCTGCCTGGGATCAGTGTGGGAGAGAGGAGAGTGCGGGCCATTGGAGGCAGAAGACAGACTGGCAGATGGCAGGCCTCTCGGTGGCTGTGCAGGGGGCTCTGTAAAGGGCCAGACCTCCTGTCCTGAGAGGCAACAGGCTTAGGGCCTGAAGATACAGGTCTAAGGAAAACATGACCTGCTTCAGGCGGCCAGGCTGCTCACACTGTAACATCTGGGCTAGATGGCAGAGAAGGTAATGGCCCTTGCTGGAGGCCAGGGAGCCAGATGCTTGCTCAACTTGAATGCTCGGTGTGATGCCAACCCTGGTAATTAGGCCCCAGCAGCCTGACTCCAGAAGGCCAAGCAAATGCCCATCACTAGGAAAGATTCCAAAGAGGTGAAGGCCTGGAGGAGAAGCGTCAAGAGTGGAGCGGTGTCCTGGGCCAGCACAGAGGCAGGACTTCTTGGCCAGCTACTCCCCTTTGCCCCAGAACCATGCTGGGTGGCTTGTAGTGGCCTGGCCACCAGCCTGGTCACACAGTCTCGAGCCAGCCCCTCACACACACAGTACCTGGCAGGCAGCAGGTGTATAATGAGGAATTGCTTGATGAAGGAATGACTTGTGTGTGAGGTATTTTATTTTATTTTTTACTGTGACGTGGGTGAAAGTTCAACAAAGCAAATTCATTTTCCACACGGCAATTCATTGCGCGAGGTATTTTTTACACCTACTTAGTTTTCTCTGGATGACAACCTTGTGAGGTGGCTCTCCTGATTTCCATCTTACATGTGAGGAAACCGAGGCTCAGAGAAGCCAAGGAACATGGTCCAGGAGCTCTAAGCAGTAGGGGCAGGACAGAGACTGGCTCCTCGGGTCTTTGGTACCCACTCCTCCCTCCCCCAGGAGGTACTTTCTCACCCTGCAGGGAGTTGGTTGGGGGATGCAGGGGGTGCATGTGGGAAGCATGCACAGAAACCACGAAACTTCTAGGCAAATCCCCACGCCTCCATTCAGCAGAGAGCAGGAACGAGGGCGATTCCTCTCCCCGTCTACAGGGCTTCGGCTGAACAGGCGAGCGCTGGAGGCCAGAAGTGGGGAGTAGAGGCCCTTCAAAAAGACCCTGCTAAATATCACTTCACAAGCTGCCCTGGTCAGGGACACATCTATCACCCCAGCGTGACGGCCTGCTTGGCGCTGAGAAATCTGCCTGTCAGTCAGTGCTGTGCAAGGGGAGAAGAGTGAGCTGGAGCCAGTACCGGGCCGGGATCTCGCAGCACTCCTATCTGTCGGCCGCAGCCTGCGCCCTCAGACTCTCATGCTTAATAGGGTTGTTTCCTCTTTCCTAACCCTCACAGTCTTAGCATGAGGGAAAACAAACAGGAGATGCCACAGATAAGGGACTCTCCCATTTACAGAGCAGTCCTCACCTACCCTGCCTGGTCCCCAGAGCACCTCGCCCCATTTCTCCGAGGCTTTCTAGAGTGGTACGTGACACCTAAAACTGGTCACCACGGGCTCTGGTTCAGTTCACTAAGACTCAATGTGATTAGTGAGACCTACGTGGAAGGACTGCCAGGGCGGAACAGCCAAGGCACATGCCAGACCTGCCTGCTAGACCCTTATAAACCTGTCCAAGGGACTGAAGGAACAGGGCTATGGGCCAGGGTACATTAAGAAGGAGCATAAGGAGGCCAGCAGTCCTCAGCCAAGATGCTAACACACTCGGGGTTCAGAAAAGCTTTTCTGGCATTGGCTGCACTAGAGAGGTATTTGGAGGGGTACAACTTTGACAGGTGGCTGTGTGGGGAGAGGGCCAGCCAGGTAGATGGGATTATTACTATTTTTTTAATGTGGTGATGAGACATGTAGGGCCTCTATGGGGCTCAGGGAATGGATGGCCCAGTGCAGCTGGAGTAGAGAACAAGGAGGCGATAATAGCAGAGGGCCTTGAAGGCCTCAGAAGGCATCTGTCCATGTGAGCAGAAGGGTGGCAGGTTCAGGGGTGCTCTCTGGGAGATACTGACCTGGCCCAGAGTAGAGGATATTTACACAGGAAGGAGAGAGAATAGGTAGGTGGCTACTATTAGTCCCTGCTCATAGGCAACCCTGAAGACCCAGGGTCAGGCTCGGTGACACCTGGCCCAACCCCCATACCTAGCCAGAGCCCCATTCCCTCAGGAGTATGGTTATCTTTATACAGTGATGTGTGTGGGTTTGAATACACCACGTTGGACAAATTCTCCACAAGCCGTTGGGTTCTGAGGTTTGAGAGTGACTCCTCCCCTTCCCTGACCTCCCAGTCCTGGCTGCCCTACAACCAGCCCAGCCCCAGCTGTAACCCAAACTTCCTGTGCCCTCCCCATGGTTTGTTCTCTACTGTCACCAACAGTGGTTCTGGCTTGTCCTGTGGTTGGCACAACTATTCCATTAGACTCGGGGGGCAAGGCTGAGTGTGGCAAAGTGGAAACAATGGGATCAACATTACAGAAAAAGAACTCAGTTGCCTGGAAAACTAACTGAAGGGAGCGGGTAAAGGGCAGAGCTTCCTGCAGAAACTAATGGTCCCAATCCAGCTGATGGGCCACTGGGGGCAAACAGAGACACTGAGAAGAAGCTGGTGTTAGTGAAAGAGGAACGGATCCCGTTTGCAAATGGTGACGGTGCAGACAGAACACTGGGCTGGAGATGTCAAGTGTAGATGGTTGATTCGATTATTTAGTCCTCCTCCATCCAGAGGCTTGGAGATACCAGCTGCACAGATCGGGCACTCAGCAGAGAGGTCAGGACCAGCTGCTCTAGGTTTCATTCACTTGCTCTTTTGATCAATATCAATGAGCATTTGTCATAAATATCCTGCTCAACTCCCCCTAGTCTTTCCCATTGAGTAAAACTAGAAACTGGACAGATCAGGGTCCCATTCTTTTCCTCCAGAACCCCTCAGACAGACCTCAACACTCCCGACAGTGCAGAAGTGGGCCTTGGTACCAGCACAGGGTTCATTGTTGTTGTTGTTGTTGTTTGCCATCGAGTCGGCCCCGACTCATAGCGACCCCTCCTTGGGTTTCCGAGGCAGTATCACTACGGAAGTAGGAATGCCCAACCTTCCTTCCGAGGAGTGGCTGGTGGGTTTGAACCGCCAGCCTTCTGGTTAGCAGTCAAGTGACTTAGCCACTATGCTACCAGAGCTCCCATTAGAGGACCGCTATTTCGGGCTCAGAGACAGTAGGGAAAACTCCCACCTGTCTTTTTTCTGTTCTTTTCTCATGTTTGAGGCCATAAGTAATGCCATGGTGGTAGTGGCAGAGACAGCAGGATCGAGGACCTGAAGGAGTCCAACACTGTCCCAGAAAATCGAAACCAGTATGACCCCAATACCAAATATGGAGAAAAACAACTTGAGAAAAAAACCTGTAGAACAATATTCCAAATGAAAATAGACATGAGAATCCTCAACAAAATGTTACCAAATAGAATCTAGCAACATATAAAAATAATTATACACCTCAGTCAAGGTGTTTTTCCAGGAATATACAGCTCGTTCAATATTTGGAAATCACTCAATATAATTTGGCACATGAATAGACTAAAACCCCAAACCAAAAGTAATCATATCAAGTGATGCGGAAAAAAAACAAAACAAAACAAAAAAAAAACCCCTGAAAACTCCAACAGCAATTCTTGATTTAAAAAAAAAAAAAAAAAAAAACTTACAGCAAATGAAGAAAAGAAAATAACTATCAACTTGCTGAAGAGCATCTACCACAAGCCGACAGCTAACAGCTTAATGCTAGCAGACTGAACCCTTTCTTCCTAAAATTGGGAAGAAGGTTAAGGATGTCAGCTCTCACCACTCATCTTCGGCATACAGTCAGGATCTTGGGTGAACTCTGAAAAGCTTTAGGTTGAGTGAAAGAAGCCAGTGTTAAAAGGTTATGTACTGCAGACCAGTGGAAGAGAACTGAGGATTCAGAATTCAACTCAGCCATCTATGGACAACTGATTTTCAACAAGGGGTCAAAGTCCACACTCAGTGGGATAAAAGCAGTCTCTT